TGAAATTTAGGCATTATTAGCTTTGTTATTTTATGCTTGTATTTATTTTCTTGATTAAGCTTCACGGGTAATTGTGTTTGAGCTAATGTGCAGATTACAGGTTGCTACATGTGTTGAAGCTTCATGAGGTTCATGAAAAATTCTGCAGTTTTATTTCCTTTAACAATCATTGTAATTTACTTTCCTGCTTGGGCAGATTGCTGAATTATTTTTAAGGTTTTGTCATGAAATTACCAAAGGGGGAGATTGTGAGATATATATTTTATATTTGGCTAATTTCGTTGTCAAAATAAGTCCGATCGAGTTGTAATTTTTTGATTCAAAGTTTCAAAGATTGAAAATCAGATACGGATTTGAAGAAGTTCAAGTGTTCATGATATACTACACTTCAAGATGATGAGAACAATGCTTTAGGAAGATTGAGAGGTAGTGAGAACACATTTTGAGAGTTTTGGAAGTTTTTAAAGAAGATTTTATATTTTGAACTGGTTCCCAAAATCCTGAACTGGTTCAACATCAGCAGAATTGAAAAAAATTAAGACTGGCCATCTTGAATCGGTTCCCAAATTCCTGAACCGATTCAAGGATTAACTTATGGCCATCTTGAACCGGTTCCCAAATTCCTGAACCGGTTCAAGACTCTTGATAGGTTATGGTAACTTACCTTTCTTGCTTTGTTTGATTCCTTTTTAGACTAGACTTCTTTCCAAGTCCTATGCACGAAATTTTCTATATTTTCAGAGGGATTAGGACTTTCCAAACTCTATATAAACCTTGTTAGTCTTCTAGATTTATTCATGGCTTTAGGGAAAATCAATTCTATATTTTGAAAAAGCCTTTCAGAGGGAAAAAATTCAGAAAATCAAATCTGATTGTTCTGAATTTATTTATGAGAGCATACATATATATTCATGAGTGATTTAGTAGTGTTGTTCTCTATTTCATCAGAATCGGAGCTATATTGAAGATTTAGATATTTCGTATGAAGAGTAGGATTTAATTCTTCTACATTGAGTTCAGATCTTGAAGAACAGAAGTAAAAGCGATCACACTTTGAAATGGTTGGTGCATTCGAGGAGTGTTGTCTGATCTACCTGCTACTCTTCTACAAATATCAAGCATAAGCCTGAGGTCAAGTTGCCGTTAGACGGGGAGTTGCAAAGCCAGAAGATTGTCAGCAATTGGTGTTTGGTAGAACGATAGGGTGTGAGTCAGAGTCAAAGTTCGATATACTTTGTTTCAAACGTTGCGAATCGGTTTACTTTGGACTGAATAGTCCACGAGGTTTTTCCCATGCAAACAGTTGATATATTTTATTAATTAGAGTTTCCTCATTAAAAATCCTGGTGCAATCTCTCTAAACTTAACTTGCTTTACTTTCCAGTATTTATATTTATGATTGTGAATGTTTAATTGATTATATAATTTAATCAATCATAAATTAAACAAGTTGACCTAATAATCAGATCTAGGTCATTAAAGAAGTTAATCACTATTAAAATTAACTAACTGTTTCCGCACCCCGCGTAACTCTATTTTCACAACTGCTCGACGAGACTAAGACGCCATGGCTTATGGGATGGGTAGAGAGGTTTTGCTCAGATGATGCAATGAAGGATGCCATTGTTCAAGAGACTGAGAAGCTTAATGAGATAACCAGGTTATCTCATGCCAGAGCAGAAGCTCATACTTCAAATTAAAATTTTCCACAATCCAAACACTTGGACGTGGCCATCCTTGACTTGAAAGATGATGCTTTTGTTTTTGTTTTCCTTTATGCTCTTTTTTAGCAGGACTAAGATTTTCTGTAATTACCAATAGGTGAATAAAGCTAGGAAAATAACAACCTAAAAAAAAAATTATTTTTTTAAGTAAAATATTTTCTTTATTTTTGTTTTTTTGATGTCTGACGAATGTGTAAATCGAGATTGAGGTCGAATCCATCGGGCGGACGTGTAAAATAACTTGTCGAAAATTAATTAATAAGTTATTTTTGTTAAATTTTAATTTTTTTATCTTCATAAATATTTTACGATAATCAAACATAAAAAAATATATATAATGCTATGACCCTAAAGAAATGAAAAAAAATGATCTTGAGTTTCATCGGGGATTATGAGATATTAAATTTTAAATTGTTTTTATTTTAGACTCTGTTTATTTGGATGTATATATATATATATTACGACAATCAAACATCAAAAAAAATATGTAATGCTATGACCCTAAAGAAATGAAAAAAATGATCTTGAGTTTCATCGGGGATTATTTGGATGTAAATTTTAAATAGTTTTTATTTTAAGCTCTGTTTATTTGGATGTAAATTTTAAATAGTTTTTATTTTAGACTCTGTATATTTGGATGTAAATTCAAATCGAGTCACAGTTAGAAAAAGAACGTTTTGCTTAACAATGCTGTGACCCTAAATAAATGAAAAAAATGATCTTGAGTTTCGTCGTGGATTATGAGATATTAAAAACTATTTAAAATTTAATATCTCATAATCCCCTATGAAGCTCAAGATCATTTTTTTCATTTATTTAGGGTCACAGCATTGTTAAGCAAAACGTTCTTTTCCTAACTGTGACTCGATTTGAGCAATTTCAAACTGACCGATGCTTGCTTTAATTATCAAACAATATTTGATTCTTTAGACTACAAGACTATTTTATTCCCAATTATTTAGACTACAAGACTATTTTATTCCCAAGTCCCATCTCATCGTGTCACATTAACATTCTGTTGTTATCAACCATGTGCAAAGACCAAAATGTCAAGATTTAGTTGAGATTATGCGGTAGAAGACAGAATATATATATAATATTTCATATTAAATGACATTTATTATTATTATAATATGTACAAATATATAAAAAGCTAGACATTACTTTTGCTACGTAGTGGACGAACGATTGGAGATCAACCTAACATTTTATATGGATGTTTTACATTTTTTTTTCTTTCATAAATACCATATTAATCATCGTATACTCTAAGCCGTGTAATCATATATTCAAACAATTAACTATACACCTCAAACACAAAGGGAATCTTGCCTCTTTCACCCACCATGCCATGGTGACTAGGGTGCATGTAAAACATTTCAAGAAATAGCAAGTACGTGTGGAAGCGAAGTCCTTCACTATATATGTAATGATCCTGTGGACGGGTGTGTTATGGGCGGGTGCGAGATACTGATAGGCTACCACATTAACGAGTTATGGGTGCACAATCTCACATCGTCTAGGAAAAGAAAAGGTAAAGTGCTTATATATAGGTATATCACTCCAATTAGTATGAGGCCTTTTGTGGTATAACCTAAGAGCAAAATCGTGTGAGCTCAGGTCCAAAGTGAACAATATCATACCATGTGGTGGAGTGGGTCGTTACAAATGGTATCAGAGCCTGACCCAGTCGGAAGTGTGTCGAAGGGGACGTCGGGCCTTCAAAGGGGGTGAATTCTGATGACCCTGTCGGCGAGTGTGCCGTGAGTAGGTACGAGACACTGACAGCCTACCACACTGAAGAATTACGGGTACACAATTCCACATCGCCTAGGAAAAAGGAAAGGTGAAGTGCTTATATGTAGGTGTGTCATTCCAATTGGTATGTAGCATTTTGGGGTAAAGCTCAAGAGCAAAACTGTGCGGACTCAAGCCCAAAGCGGACAATATCATACCATGTGGTAGAGTGGGTCGTTACAAATGGTATCAGAGCTTGACCCAGCCGGAATTGTGCCAACGGGGACTTTGGGCCTCCAAGGAGGGTGGATTGTGATAACCCTGTGGGCGGGTGTGCCGTGGGCGGGTGCGAGACACTGACAAGTTACCACACCGGCGAGTTACGGGTGTACAATCCCACATCGCCTGAGAAAGGGAAAGGTGAAGTGCTTATATGTAGGTGTGTTACTCTAATTGGTATGAGGCCTTTTGGGGTATAGCCCAAGAGCAAAACCATGCGGGTTCAGGCCTAAAGTGGATAATATCATACCATGTGGTGGAGTGGGTTGTTACAAATGGTATCAGAGTTTGACCCAGCCGGAAGTGTGCCAACAGGGACGTCAGGCCTCCAAGGGGGGTGGATTGTGATTACCCTGTGGGCGGGTGTGCCGTGGACGGGTGCGAGATACTGATAGGCTACCACACTGGCGAGTTACGGGTGTACAGTTTCACATCGCCTGGGTAAAGGAAAGGTGAAGTGCTTATATGTAGGTATGTCACTCTAATTGGTACGAGGCCTTTTGAGGTAAAGTTCAAGAGCAAAACCGTGCGGATTCAAGCTTAAAGTAGACAATATCATATCATGTGGTAGAATGGGTCGTTACAGTACAAACTAGGAGTGTATATGGTGCGGTTCGGTACGGTTTTGTCGGAAACCAAAACCATTCCCAACGGTTCTTTAAAATGGAACTGGAACTGCACCGTTGGGTATATGGAACCGAACCGAATCGTTAATACCGGTTCGATTTGGTTCCACGGTTTCAACTATATATGGGTATGAGAAGATGGAGAAAATGAGAGCAACAATGTGACAGTGTGTGGGTGTAGATCTGAGATGGTGAGAGGCAGCTTCAAAGTTCAACCGCAACAAACAGAGGCCTGTGACGATAACGAGATGACGGCGTCACAAAGATGTGTGGTTCTTAGAAAATGAGAGGCCGGAACCACCAATGAACAACAGATCAAAGTTCAACAAAGGACACTGATACAAAAGATGAGAGGATGCGACTTCAAAGATGAGATGAGAGGTTTTTCACAAAAAAGAAAAAAGAAAGAGAGGAGAGGAGAGTTAGGTTTAAAACTTTACATTATGCGTTGTGGTTTACAAGAAGCACGTCAATGACACCAAGTCGAATAACATGGACCACATGGTGAGGAATCTGGTGACTAAAATAGACTAATTGTCTACAATCATACATATATATAATAGTTAATTAGTTATATTAAATTATTTATATAATCAAATATATATGTTATACGGTACAATTTGGTTTAGTTTGGTTTGGTTCTTGGGGGTCTAAAATCGGAACCGAACTGTTTCAAATTTTTGGAGCTGTAATTGTGAGAATTGGAACTGAAGTTCCGGTTCGGATCGATTTTTCAGTTTCACTGTTTTTTTGTGCACCCCTGGTACAAACATGGTGTCAATTAGTTCCTGAAATTGCTAGGGGAGCATGGCTGATTTTGGTCTCATCTGACAAGCTGTAATCAGCCATTCTGGACATATGATAGGTCCTTTTTTTTTCTGTCTTCTTTTAAGGGATCCATGGCTAGGTTCGTGCATGGGAATCTCCAATGGACCCATGATTGTTGTGGTCCTTCCCTTTGCATTTGTTTATGTTCCTCTTGAGATCGATCACAAACACTCTCTCACATCAAGCCACCGCTAGACTCATATCATATATACAAAGAGTCCTTTCTTCATCCCCTCGCTACAAACCTCAAGGCATTGGACATGGCAAGTAGTGATTTAAAGCTTCTGGGGACCCTGCAATGCCCATACGTGTGCCGGGCTCGAGTCGCTCTCAATCTGAAGTCTGTCAACTATGAGTTACTTGTAGAGAACTTGGGTTCCAAAAGTGAGCTGCTTCTTCAATCAAACCCCGTGCAGAAGAAAGTTCCGGTTCTTATCCATGGTGACAAAATCATATGTGAATCTCTCATAATTGTGAGATACATCGACCAGGTATGGACCTCAGGTCCTTCCATCCTGCCTTCTGATGCCTATGATCATGCCATTGCTTGCTTTTGGGCGGCCTATATTGACCAGAAGGTATGGTTCTTCTACTATATATATATATATATGCAATTAGAACTTTTACAAAAGTTACAAAATTGTGTGGCAAGGACATTTTTGAAATCATAGCATGTTGATAGTCGTCTGTTATGAAATCTTTAAAGCTAAAATAGCAGTCATTAATTCATTAATGAATTTCTATGCACATCTTCTTCTTTTTTTCATTTTTTTTTATTGTTTGTTTGTGAAGTGGTAGTGGGTAAGACATGTTTTTTGGGGATGCAATATCATATTTTTTAAAGGTAAATTACATTTATTTTCCGTCTAGTTAGGATTTATTACACTTATTTGCCCCTTCTTTTGAATTATTACAGCTCCTTCTCTTCTAGTTAACTGTGTAATAAAATGAACCCTATGGTCAATTTCACAAAAAAGATATGGAGATCTTTTAGCTTCATATGATAAATATATGTACCTTTCAAATTGGGGGTATAAATCATCTTGTCATCAGGGGCAGAGCCAAGATTCTTGTGGAAAAAAATTACTACTAGGAAAAAAAAATTTAAGGAGCTGATTGGTTTTAAAAAATTCATTGATTTAATATTAATTTATATACTTTATTTATATGTATATACCCATATATATATATATATATATATATATATATATAATATGTATTATATAAATGTATGTATACTATATATTGTTATATTTGTATATCATTATGCGTAAAGAGGATTAGAAAACCAAAAAGAAAAAATAAGATTACGACTCTAAAGAATTAAAAAGTAATTAATTTTTAGTTAAAAATTTGAGAAATAGGTGAAAGAGAATTAGGAAAGAATAGAGATAATGAACTTGCATATTTAATCTTTATTATTTTTTTTCACCATTGAACTCAATTGCAAGAGTTCGTAAGAGCCCATTGCTTACCGGTGTTTGCCTTAAGTGGCATTCCAAATTAATATTTTGTTATGTAATTTTGGATTATATTACATATATTATATATTGTATCATATTATATTGAACTAAAATTATACTAAGTTAATATTTTATTACTATTAGGTTGAACTTAAACTAACTAAATGTTTGATATAATTGGATTGAGTTAATATTATATAATAAGAGGGATGATTTTAATTCCCCTTATTTTTTTATTTTTTTTTTATTTTTAAAACCTGACAAGAAAACAACCGTACAGCATCTACAAGGCAAGAACATGGAACCATTGTCAAAATAAAGAAACACATTCAGTACCAAAAAACATAACACTATTCAAAACTAACATCCACTAATGTCAAGATATCATCCTTGACAATAAACGAGTAGTGATAATGAGAGTGTTAGTACCCATAAGTAGAGCACCGGATTTTCCTGAAGAGTCAGATTTTGTACAACCAAAGCACCTAGAGATCTCTTGTCAAATGGCACCGCCTCACACGAGTCAGATTTTAATTCCTATTGGGTTGGGCTTAAATTGAATTTAAATGTGACCTTGATGCATGAACATGTATGTAATATATATATATATATATATATATATGAATTTGTTATGGATTTGGCCTGTGAAATTTTTATATATTACAATATGGCCCAACATTACAAATTTGTGTTTAAAGGGTGAGAATTAGACATAAGGTCCATACTTGCCTACTTGGTCCTACCTTTTATATATATATATATATATTTGTGTTTAGGGATTGGTTAATATCACATAAATCTTTGTATTTACTATGTGAAACATGTTTTTTATTTATTTTTTTATTTTTTTATACGATCGTGACTTCGCGGCGTTTGTCATAACAACTGATATAATTGAAATGGTTGTAGTTGGTTCCACCATTGATGGTGATTGGGATGACACAAGAAGAGGAGAAAAGGGCCACGGCAATAGAGGAAGTCGTTGCGGCATTGGCGGTGCTGGAGGAGACATTCGTCAAGTGCAGCAAAGGGAAGCCTTTCTTTGGCGGAGATAGTATCGGGTACCTTGACATAGCATTTGGGAGCTTCTTGGTGTGGCTGAAGGTGGCGGCGGAGGTGGGCGGCAAACAGCTTCTTGACGAGACCAAAACGCCGTGTCTGGTGGCATGGGCTGAGAGGTTCTGCTCAGATGATACAGTGAAAGATATTATTCCAGACATTGAGAAGCTCATTGAGCAAACCAGAGCAAAATTAGCTTCTACTAATTCCAATTAAAAATTCCCTATAATCTAGCAATCACTTGGACTAGGTGATACATAATAAGTTGGTCAACCTGTGAAAATGATGCTCAATGTAAATCATGTAATTTTATTTTTATTATTATTAAATATGATGCTGTATTGTAATATACTATGATAAATATGATGTTCTCGTAATTATATTCGGTAAATATGATGTTTTTGTTTTTATGTTTTGCTTTTTCCTCACATGTAGCCGAATGGTGTTAGGATCAAACTGATGTACGATTGTCAAAATATAAATTGTAGTGAAAACAAAACAAGATAACAATTATATACTCTATTGTTTTGTCACAAGCATGCATAACATTGTAAACATAAATGAATGAGGCTAGGAGTACTGAAAACACCTATTAGTGGAAATGTTTGGTATACAGAAGTGATCGTTATTTAGAGTTGAGGGAAAAGTGAAAAGACATTTAACCCAATTTGCTAAAAATAGATGCACTTAAATATTTAGAACACATTATTGGTTAGGCAAGTCATTATCAAAAATTGAGGGAAAAGGGAAAGTGAAAAGACATTTGATAATAACTTGTATAAGAAAAATGATTATAGTATGAGTTTTTAACGGAATGGAGAACCAAACGAATTCATATTTAAGTCCCATATGCATTAAGGATGAAAAGTTGTTCGGTTTACCATTTGGTGTTAATAAAAGGAGACTATTTGAAATTAAATTTCTCAATAAGTTAAATGAAATTCAGAATCATTTTGTTCGTTTCTTTAAATTTATAACTTTATGTTAAAGTTTTTTTTTTTTTCAAACTATGACTGTGATTTTAGCAATTTTAACTTGAAGTCCTTTTCTCTGTGGTACAATACATAATGTGATATATTGCTATGGACGAGTGATGATCTTGATAGCTAGGGATAATAATTTGTACCGTTTTGTCATAGTCCCGTCCCATCCCCTTCATGGCATGAGTATGAGAGTTGTTTATGTATCATATGGACAGTCATGAATTTAAATTTTAAACTCGTCGCGTGTTAAGAGAAAACGAATTTTAAGAAATATCTGCCAAACCCATTCCTATATATCTATATATATCATTACCTACTGATCACTTAACAAATGAGAGGGAACATGTTCCATTTTTGGTCATCAAAAGAATAAATTCTGGTTCCATGGAATGTATAAGTACTAAATGTGTCATGGTTCAATAATTTTTCCAAGTGGTTTGCTTTTTGCTTGTGCTGATTCTTTAGACTAGTAATTTATTCGTGTCACCGATTCACCGTATCCCGTCAAATGACATCTCGTGTGTGGGTGTGGGTGGGTGTGGGTGTGTGTGTGTATATGTGTGTGTGTGTATATATATATATAGATAACAATCTAGAAGAAGTCTTTTTAAATAATCGTTTAATGCATTTGGTCTGATCAGCACTTTATTATGGAGTATTAATAAGTGGAAGCATTTATTAATATATTCCATTATTGAGAACTTATTAAAGGATGGCATTAATTAGTTGAAAATTCATTTGAAATTGTTGTTTAAATAATGGAGATATATGTACAAGAAACAAAAGTAATTACTACACCAAGTTTTTATTTATTTTAAAAGATAAAAAATATTTATAAACATTACTCACAAGTCCACAGCATGTCTCTTATGGGATCCAAACTAGACTGTCAATGAATCGGATTCTGATTCGAATCTGATCCGATTATTCGGATATGGATTAAACAAAAAATTTGATAACCCGATTACGATTCGAATTCAATTGTTTAACAAATCAGATATTGATTTATACTGATCCGATCCGATAAATTTATATATATATATATATATATATATATATATATATATATATATATAATATTATATTATATATATGCAATACTCCTATTAGATTTATATTGGATGTAACCAAAAAAAAAAAAGGAATCATAATATTATATGTATAATAGTGTGGTGTTTTCACATACTAATAAATCTCCTAGTATACATATTAATAATGTCATAATATTTATTCACTACCTAAGAGTAAATGATTTTTTTTTTTCTTTTCATATTTTATTTATCTTTTGTTTCATATCATTTTTGTTTTTTATTCTTTTTTGTCATTAACTTTTTTTCTTTTTCTTTTTTATAAAAAAATTACACTTTTGTCTGATCGGATCGAATCGGTTATAAATTCAATTACAAATAATCCGTCGGATTATTGAATCGGATCGGATCAAGTAAAATGCTTATCGGATTCGGATTGGATTAGGCCAGATCCGATCCGAATCCAATAAGTTGACAGGTCTAGTCCAAACTCTCAATCTCCCTTTTGAAAGAGAAGAAATTATACTAACCGAGCTAGAGGCCTGATGATCACCCCAGATTAATAAGTTAGGGTCAATAAACTATAGTTATATACAATTTTCATAAATGGAAAGAAAAAAAAGAAAAAAAAAAAGAAAAAAAAGCAATGAATATTTAATAGGGGTTAGTGCAAGAAACACCCCTGAAGTATACATTTCATAGCACTTTTACCCGCTATTTAAAAGGTGTGCAAAAAACACCCCTATTCTTTTTAATTTGTGTGAAAACACCCATCAATTAATATAATGTCCATTTTACCCTTTCACTCTTCTAAAAATACCCCTACCAAACCAATCTTGTTGATGCAGGTCATAGAGGAGAGGTGGATGTTACAGACGATCGGAAGACTGCCGGAAAAGAAGTGGGTCAGAAGGTGAGTTACTGTATCTATATATACATATATATATGTGTGTGTGTGTGTGTGTTTATATTGATTATAGATTATATCTGTTAGCACTCAGCAGCCTAATATCTATATATATATGTATATATATGTGTGTGTGTATGTTTATATTGATTATAGATTATATCTGTTAGCACTCAGCAGCCTAATTTTTTTTTTTTTTTTTTTTTGAACCGGGTCTTCTAATTTCCTCTCTTTCTCTCTTTAACAAATGGGCAACAAACCCATCTCTCCCGCAAACATAACCACCAATCGCCACCTTCTCCACGTTGTCTTTCTCTTCCTTTAAGAGGAAGTGTAGTTCGCCGAATCGTTGTCGCCTCTCCCTAACTTTCCTTGAACGACACTTCAACTCCAGCCTCGACCCATGCCCAGATCCCAACTCCAGCCTGGGCTTTTCATACTCACTCTTCAAGCCAGACCTCAGATCAGCCGCGGTTCCTTGCCGAGCAACCTCATCGCCGGAATTGCGCCATATCCTCGCCGGAGACACCGCCGGATTTTCATGAAGCCTGTAAATCGAATTCATAATGACCTTACAAATTGATTTTTAAGTATGAACTGATTTGAAAATATCTCTATTGCATGAGCTATACGAGCATCGATTTGTGAAATTCCTCATTAATGGTTATACTTGGTATTAACCGGATTTATAATTAGGCTTTAATGCTCCCTCACTAACTGCCGGATTTGTGAAATTCCTCATTAATGCTTCCTCATAAATGAAATTCTTAATTTGTGGTTTATCTTACTTGATTCATGGTTGATTTTTAATTTTGGGAACTCTTTGGATATCATTTTGGGTGGTTTTGATGTCTTCGAAGGAAATTTGGGGTGGGTTTATATAAAATTACAAGAGTTGATTTGGAGCTTTTGGGGGCACAAATGGGTTTTGTAATTGCTACGTACTTTAATTTATAATTTTTGTGTTGTACCGTTTTGGAAACAGAGAATGTCTTGGTAGTTGGTGTGAAGATACACGGCCGTTGATTGGGAAAAACCATGGAGAGTAAATGTTGGGGTTTTTTTTTAATGATGCTTTGCACTTTGCAGGACACAAAAATGAGGGAATTATTCATTGTGATGAGAAGTTGAAGACACTATTTCATGCGAAAGAAACTGATGAATTTCTCAAAATGGCAGAATTGTTGAGCAAACATTTCGAGGACCAATAGGTGATATTGTCTAAAGTCACCAGAAAACCCAATTGTCCGCTAGAGACACCGCCGGATTTTCATGCTTCTTCCCCATTCCAATTCCTAACAAAAAGTGGCTGAAAAAGGCGAAGAGCGTTGATCCCATTGCTCACTGACATCGCGCATCGCCGAATATCAATTCACAGACCTGTTATCTCCTGCCCTCCCTGGCGATGTCACCATCAACCTCTCACTCCCCCCCCCCCCCCCGGGCGACGTGTATATATATATATATATTTGTATATATATAATTTGTAAATTTACAATAAATTATATATATATATATATATTATAAAATGTGTTGCTAAGGGTATTTTAGTCCAATTTTTTTAAGTAGGATCTATTTGCACAAATGTCATAGTTTAGAAGTATTTTTTGCACGAAAGGGGTGCAATATGCACTATATGCATACTATATGGGTGTTTTTTGCACTTGACCCATATTTAATAGGACATAACTGTAAGATTATTTATTAATTGTGTGGTCCACATGATTTGGACATCAGATATATTTTATTAATTAGTGGTTAAGTAAATAGATATCAGATTAATATTATATTATTTGGTCAACTTATTTATTACCTTTTTGGTAATTAATTATTGGAGAAGTGTTTTCCTATTTGTTCCTTACTTTGATGGAAAGTGGATATTAAGGTTACTAATAGGAAAACCGGTTCTCTCTCTGCCTTTATAAAAGTCCATATATCCCATCAATTATATACGCTAATGAAACAACACGTATAAAGTTTTATACGTGCAAAAGGTCAATGGAGAGAAATCAGTTTCCACGCTTTCTCTATTGTTTGGAGTTATAACATAGTTTGTTGTTAAATGATCTTGACAAGGTTTGATATCACAAATTGAGGTATTTATATTTAACTATATATATGCATTATAGCAATGTGAAGATAATGAAGTTCTAAGATCTTGGGATTCATGTTTATTTGTGATTAATAATTTGCACGAATAATTAAAGTTTACATATGGTATCAGAGCTTATAGTTTAGGGGCTCATTAATTTTCACTAAAGATTGCATAAATAATATGTGTAAGTAAAAATTATAATTATATAATTTATTTATTTATTAGGATCATGTATTGTTAGTGGATTACGATGAAATTATATTCGGATTGTACTTTATTATAGATTTAAACAAGATGTATCTAGTATATATTTATTTATTAATTTTCGTGAGCAATGCAATAGTAAACTAATATACAAACAAGATATGTGTTAATTTC